TTCAATTACTTCCATTATACAACACCACTAGACCAGTAACGGAAGAAAAACATAAAGATCTTATGTGTACTAGATTATGTGTGTAAGATCTTATGATGTACCATACATCCCTCCAATTTTTCAGGAACATTTTAAAAATCTTAAAATCTCGAAATTACGATAAAAATGGATTACTTTTTAAAAAATGATTAATAAATGTTTATGAATTATTTCGTTAAAGTTGTTGTTTCAAATGGACCGTTTATTTTGAAAGTGGTATAAGCTTTTTTTTTAAAGAAATTCAAAATGCCGAATCTGAGCTCGTATTGTCTAAATACCCCACGCAACGCCACTTACAATTTCTTTCGATGACATTGGACTTACACCACTTACAAAATAAACGGCTCAAATAAAATCACAATTTTTTATTACTTTCAGTCAATCATAGGACAATTCAAGCTTTACAAACAACATTTTCCTATGAAATTCACACAAAACTTCATATCTATAATAAATTTCCATTAATCAAGACTAATAAAATTATAAATTAAAATGTCGCATAATGTAAAAATATTTTTTAATTTATTCAAATGCGATTCATTAAATATCTCGAAACAAGAAATATATGACTTAGACCACATTCATAATTATGGGCACATTTGGTCTACTCGTTTCTGTCGTAAATTCATAAAAATCGCGGTCTGGTAAAAACCGTCGAGCGGACGAATAAAGTGACAGCTGGTAACAAATAAAACTCGCCACGACAGAAGAATACAGAACAAAGGAATACGACGTCTAATGTTACAAAATCATCGGCATTATTCGAACTCGATGAATCACTTACATGGACGACGGTAACGCACGCGAGACTGAGCCTTTGCGCGTCCAAAGAGAACGACGAATATCTCGAGGTAACGAAAAATGACAACGGATAAATTAACTACCGATTGCAGAGCGTAGAACAAAGTGCGGAATCAAAATTTCCTTTTGACGTTGTCAAAAGGCTAACCGTTAAACCTTTTCAGTGCCGTTCCGCGCGAAACAACGTTCGAACATCCTTTTAGGACTGTCGCGAACGCGACATTTCGTAGCTGCGATCAAAATTTCCGTTTGACGAATCCGAAATCTGATTAACTCGCCGGACGGACGAACACGGAGTTCCGCTCGTCCGACGGAAAATGAACTTTCGGACTTTATTTATTTCTCGGAGCTGCCGATTCAATTGCAGGCGCGAGGCGAGCGAAATTTGAGGCGTATGAGCCGTCTGCTGGATAAATTGTTTGCAGAGTCACTCGGAAGGAATTTAATCGCGTTACGAGATTGTTCGCGCGACGCGAAAACAAAACGAATCCCCGCGGACGGCGGCGGCGGTCCGCGCGCGTCCCGGAATGGGAGGTACGTCCGCGCGATTTCTGCGACAGTATTTCCGTGGAGCCGCGCGCGGGCAATGAATCCTTCTCGACGAATCCGGGCGCGAAATGTTCGACCCGCGGTGGCGAGACCCGTGCGAGACACGTTCGCGGAAGTTCCCCGCCGCGAGATATTTATCGAAGACATTCTAACCGTTACGGGCGACCGTGTGTTTCCGGCGCTCGCGGTCGACCAAATTAATTTCGAAATTGTAATGAAATTCGTTAATCGACGGAAGTTGTCCGCGAATTACGTTCCGAACGTGCGCGCGGGAATTTGCCGGGCACTTGGCGCAATGAAATTTCGGCCGCGACCGGGCGCCCGAAAACTGGATTATCACCGCCCGCGCAGAAATTCGTTTCGAACCGGAGGCCGAAACTGAACGCGCCGCGGCGGATTAATGGCTACAAGGGTTCCCTTTTTACTCCGAGGAAACCAGCACTCAGAGTCAAGAATGGCCCGACGTGCATTTCGGCTTGCTTATTTTTTTACGCGATATTCAATCGACGCCGCGCTGCGACAATTTATTTTGTGCCGAGTTCGCGCTCAGAATCATTATTTATTTATTTAATTTGTATCACGAGCAAGAACTCTTTGTTACAGGGACGAAGAAAATACGTTAAATTCATGGTCGATGTTTAAAGAATAACGTAAGAGTAAGTTAGGATATAAGCCGATGCTACAAGATTACAGAAAAGTTAAGTACAGTGGGTGGAAAAAGTCTTGGGACTCCTTTTAAGACAGTAAACGAAACAGAAAGAGATTAGAATTAAGAAAGTTACTTAATCTTAGAATTAAGAAGGTACCTTTTAAAAACTGCACTAAATGACATGAACTT